CTTATTTAAGACAAGTCGACCTCATTATGTGAAATGTCCTTCTTCAGTACAGATTGAGTTCTGCCATGAGCAAGCAGTTCTCTTATCTTTCCTTGGCCTGTAACTTGGCTGTCAATACACCAAAAGCGGGAACAACATTCCATAAATTATTCATAATTGCCTCACTAGCACGCTCCCCCTGACACGTCCCACTAATGAATCATATATACCCAGTCTTGCCTTTCAAATTTTTCACCAATTTAGCAGCAAACTGATAAAACTCATATCTTTAGAAAGCAACTAAATATCATCGCACTACTTTACCCTCTTCGCTGACCCTCATCAGAGGTGGGCAGTAGCGCACTACATGTAGCGACCGCTACATTTTCAGTAGCGGTAGCGGCGCTACATTTCAAAGTAGCGCTGCCCAGCTCTGACCCTCATACACAGAAATAAAAAATGCGCCGTCACCTCAGGAGGGCCCCGGCAGGCACGGACGCCTGCACCCCGGCGACCACTCACCCTGCACAGCTGCTGGCTGTACGATATTGTTCATTTATGCTGAGTTGTTATCAGCAGGCAGCTCGGTCCACTTATTCTTTCTTTAAAAATAAGTTTGAAATAGTAATTTCCTTTTTTCAACGTCATCTTCAGACGTCGAGATACACTCAGTTCTGCAGGAACTTTTTATGCCTACCCTAAGAACTGTATTTATAAACGCTAGTTGTTTCGTCGTGCCCGTTTAGTGAACTCATCAATCACGAAAAAGAAACACGAAAACTCATAATAATGAAGCAACACTGACGTAGTACTTCCTATTACTTGCTAAATTTAAGCAGAAGGCTTAGAGGCCAAAGCTCTCGACTTCACCTCATGCCTCCCGTACTCCGCTTCATATTTTCCATGGAAAGCGCCCGCGACGTTCAACCCAGCACGATTTATGGCATTAGCGCTGCTAGTTTATGACACCAAATAAACAAGTCAGCGGAGTCTCCAGTACCAACAAACGCCCTCAAAATATTATCCTTACGCTCAAAAATTTTACGGGTATTTTTTCCCTAATTTTGTTGCGCTTTACCTTATTTTTGGCAACGCAAGAGACCCTAAATCATGATAGTTAGGTTATACGACACTGTAATACACTCGCGTCTTCTCTTCCATCACTATATCATTGTTTGTAATATTGACGATATCTCCACCATATCATTCGTTTTTTATTGCATTTTTAAGATATAGGCTGAGCATTTCATTGATTTAGCGCGAGCATCACGATATCCCCTCAGAGCTGGGGCGGCAGTAGCACATCACACGCTATGGTCATTATAAGCTCGCTGATCATGAGAAATACGTTACGTTAACAGCTCAGTATCATACCGTCGAAGGCAGAAACTTGAAGAAAATTTCCCTCGGTACTCAATATCATCAAGATTCAGAACGCTGATTTCGAATCAAGTGAATCATCCATTGTTTTCTAAAAGTTAGTAACGGATCAAGCGCGCCTTGAACTCGACGACGTGTAGGTATAGCCAAACGATAGAGATATAAGTATATAACACTTGCATAAAGAGCCCGTACAGCAGGCAGGAAAAGGAGTGTCATAAGCAAAAGGTAAAAGCAAAAGGTATGAGTAAAAGATATAAGCAGAATGTATAAGCAAAAGGTATAAGCAAAAGGTATGAGTAAAAGATATAAGCAGAATGTATAAGCAAAAGGTATAAGCAAAAGGTATAAGCAAAAGGTATAAGCAAAAGTTAAAAACAAAAGGTATAAGTAAAAGGTATAAGTAGAAGGTATAAGCAAAAGGTAAAAACAAAAGGTATAAGTAGAAGGTATAAGTAGAAGATTTAAGCAAAAGGTATAAGCAAACGGTATTAGCAGAAGGTAAAAGCAAAAGGTATACGCAAAAGATATAAGCAAAAGGTATAAGCAAAAGATATAAGCAAAAGGTATAAGCAAAAGGTATAAGCAAAAGGTATAAGCAAAGAGATGATCACACTAGCATAAGAGCCCGCGCGGCAGGCAGGGGCGCAGGATGGTTTGGACTTGAGAGCGCCACAGGTCGTTGAGCCATGAGGCTGTAAGTCGTACGCTGAGGCTTCCCTACACTCAGTGTAATGGCAGAGACTTTGTCTAAATAGCGATGTACTTTTGCCTTTGTTTGGGTAATCCTGATCCAGTTAAGCATTGTAAAATGACGCATTATCGCTACGTCCGCTCTCTGCTTGTGCTCTGGGTAATCAAGTGCCGTTATTTGGACAATGCGATCCTATAATTTATTTGAGTGTGTACACTGCCGAGGTCTCCGCTGATCTAAACTTTACGCGAAAATAACTTTCATAAAATCTACGCGAAAAAATCGTCTTCTAGGCATCGTTATGCAACTTGAATGTTGAATTACATCTATTTACATTGATTAAATTTCCTCTTATTCAATTTCTGCGTTCGATTAACTTTTATTTTTCATATTACTTTTACACTTCATTTCATAACTACAATAGTTCGATTTACACATTCATTAATTTCTAAGAAAGTTCACACCCAAAAATTTATTTCACACTCACATTAGGCTTTTAACGTTTCATTCTTCATCGTCGTACAGTTCGACGTTGTTTCAACGATGAAATCGCGTTGAATTCTGACGCTAAAATCGCATTTGTAAAAGGTTTCATCGGGTTTACATGATCCATTATGAATGTCACAGTATATGAGCACCGTGTTACAATGAGCTGCATTTATTATATATATAGAAAATACTATTCGCTACCCTATCTACAATTATTGTACCCTGCGTAAGCAACCTGCAAGTGGTGACGGTGTGCGTCGGTGATTTTTAACATTCGGCATCTTTAATATTGTTACTTAAGTGAATAGTCAAGGAAATGAATGATATCTATATAATATAGGTAGAGAAGTGACTATTCAATAAGTTATTATGTAGAAAGTTAGATCAAATAGCTCTTAATCTCCCTTGAGAAGCCAGGTTCACCGTGGTCTGCTGCAGGGCAAAGGTTAGGCGCGCGAGCCAGAGGTCCGGGGTCCCATGCAATCCAAGGGTGATCTGATATATTCAGTTGAAAAGTAAAGGTAAATAAATATATAGGGTAATGAATAGTATTTCTATAAACAGTTTCAACAGTTTTTCAAGTTTTCTAAAAACTTCCTTTTCAATTACACTTGGGCGTCGAATAATGATTCTGGATAAAAAAGACACGATCGCAGTTCTGAAATATCTTTTTTATCCAGAATCATTATTCGACGCCTAAGTGTAATTGAAAAGGAAGTTTTTAGAAAACTTGAAAAACTGTTGAAACTCTATATAAAAATAAAGTCCGATTTATTATTTCTGAATTTCTATAAACAACAAATGAAGCTCATTGTAACACGGTGTTCACATACTGTGATATTCTTGATAGAACAATCTAACCTGATAAAACCTTTAATATATGCGATTTTAGAGTCAGAATTTAACGCGATTTCATCGTTGAAGCAACGTCAAAATGTACGACGTTGAAAAAATTACGTTTATTCACTTTCCATTCTGGACTAATATTCAACATTATTTCAACGTCGCGAAGTACGTTGATTCAACCTGACATCGCCTGTTGGGTCAAAACGAAGGCAATCAATTAAATGGAACAAGTATAATAGGTGGTAGTATTATTTTTAGTAGATAGCTTGAATATACCTACACGCGACTGATCCAGAGTATGTTAATTTTGCTTTGACTGCGTCACCTTAATTATCAATAATAGACTTTACCTGCCAACACATTTAGCATTCAACTAACATTGAGCTACTTTATGGTAGAGAGCAGTGGTTCGCAAGTCGTCGAATAATGGTCCGCAAACAGGGGTTAGCGGACGACTAGTGGTATGTAAGAGACTTTCAGGTGGCACGCGTATATACACGTTCGGGGTAAACAAGAATTCTACGTAACTTATTTTTATTCCTCGGAAATATTTTCTGCCAACTACAAGATAATCTGACAATAATTTACAACAGTTACCTCAAGGTCACTAAGCTAAATTTAAACATCATGTTTAAATTTAGCGCATTGTTTAAATTTAGTTTTGTGCATGGAGGTGCCATAGACAAAATATTTAGTGCATTAAGAAGGATGAAATTAAAATAACATACCAATTTAGATGCTGACTAATGTCGTGGTGCTGAATTTATACGCTGATTTAATGTAGCGGTTTGAGGTGGTACGGAACGACTATATAGGTACGGGATTTACAAGTGGTGAGTTTCGAACCACTCGATCACACAAATTTGATATCCACATTCATTTTTCAGTGAAATGATTCATTGTAATCAATAATTATTATTATTATTATTCAAAATAAGAGCAGAATCATATCAAAAACACATTGGGTGTTGAATATCGCTCAGAGTGTTGTGCATTGGCATCTGTTAAAATGTTGAAGTCTAAGAAAGCACCACATTCGATTTTTTTTTTCAATGCACCATAATTGCAATTCGTGTATGACAGGCACTGGATTTGTTCTCGTAAATATATTGCACATAAGCTGTGCAATACACAATAGCTTTGCAATGCACATTATAAAAGTCAAGGCGTATCGCTGTGCCGCACACGCAAGCGACAGGTGCAGCGATCGTTACCAGGTGCTCTTATACGTTTATGTACGAGCTAGGAGAATAAATGCATGTGAAGTGGTAAATTGACACGAAACGGCAAAACATGAGAAGGTGGAGCTTAACGGTGACTTATTAACGGAGGAACAAGACTGAAGTATAGTGAAGAGAGGAAGGGGAAGGAAAGAGAAGTGAGGGAAGGTTATTCCTCGAGGGAGGACGCAATCGATGTGCCTGTGACACGAGAGGTCCCTGAACGTGTTGGAGAGACCCTCTGGACCACGTACTCGGGGCAAGGGGAGGAGACCCTCTGGACCACGCACTTGTGGCGGGGAAGCTGCCATCTGTACTACGCACTTGTGGCGAGGAAGGTGCCATCTGTACTACGCACTTGTGGCGAGGAAGCTGCCATCTGTACTACGCACTTGTGACGAGGAAGCTGCCATCTGGACCACGCACTTGTGGCGAGGAAGGTGCCATCTGGACCACGCACTTGTGGCGGGGAAGGTGCCATCTGGACCACGCACTTGAGGTGGGGAAGCTGCCATCTGTACTACGCACTTGTGGCGAGGAAGCTGCCATCTGTACTACGCACTTGTGGCGAGGAAGCTGCCATCTGTACTACGCACTTGTGGCGGGGAAGCTGCCATCTGTACTACGCACTTGTGGCGGGGAAGCTGCCATCTGTACTACGCACTTGTGGCGGGGAAGCTGCCATCTAGGTGCCATCTGTACCACGCACATGTGGCGAAGGAGGAGCCATCTGGACCACGCACTTGTGGCGAGGAAGGTGCCAGCTGGACCACGCACTTGTGGCGAAGAAGGAGCCATCTGGACCACGCACTTGAAGCGGGAAGCTGCCATCTGAACTGCGCATTCGGGGCAGCGGACAGGAGGGCCTCTGTAACAGCGCTCCAGAGTGGTCTGTGGCGGCGCTCCAGCATGACCTGGGACAGCTACATCCGAAACACATACTAAGGATAGAAAGCCATGGCGGAGTGAGTTGCCCTCTATACAACGCACTCGTTGCAAGGGAAGAGGAAGGGAGCGCCTCTCCCTCCCCGAGCAGAAAGAGAGGAGGGCTTCGGAGTGATAATGATAAGTCTATTTTAGAAAAATTTGAGTGGAGAGGGTCTTGATCAGAGTCGGTCGAGGTCAAATTCAGTCTTCGTCTATTCGGTCGAGGTGAGAGTCTGTTAAGGGGAGGGGTCGATGGGAGACGGTCTGGGCCAGACGCATCTGAGGGGATGTGGTATAGACCAGAAGCGGTTGACAAGAGTGTTTTCTTGATACAAGAAAAAAAACATCCGAACTAAATTCATTTATTTCAACTATAACAACCAGCGACATGCATTTCCCAAAGCGCGATAACCTACCGGCGAAGTACCATCTTCAAACTGAAGAACAGATGAACAGTGGCCATATGCATGTGGCATATGACCACTAATTTTTTCATTCGTTAGTTTTCATTCAAACTTAGCTAAGTTAACCTGCACCTTAGTCAAAAATTTCACTGGCGACGGTAAATGAAAACAGAGTGTTAAAGTTATCAGGTAGAAATAAAATAAAGTACGTTTAACGTTGCTAACCGATGCCGATAAGTAGCAGTCATCATTCCACAAAAAGCGCAATTGTATAAATGTGGCGCACTAAAGTTAGTAAATCACAGACAGACTGTACCTTTCAAATACTTTGGGACTAAACTTATTTTGCTAATAGTTCTCTCTCAATAATAAATATACTCCAGCATATATATATACTAATGTCGATCGAACTTCCGCTGCTCTTACGGGCCTCAAATCAGATAATTTAACGAGATTTTCCATAAGGAAAACCAGTGTTTTATACTGCCTGCCTGCTGGTGCTGGGGTAACGAAGCAAATGAATTTAAACGGAAGACAACAAAAAGCGAGCGGGAAAACATAAGTTAGGCCAGTTGAGGAAAGATGAAGGAAGATAAAAGATAAAGCCAACAATAAAGTAGCGGAAAATAATGCGATGGAGGATTGTTCACATTATTTGAGGCAAAATGGAGCTAAAAAACAATTGAATTAAAAAAAATAAAGAGGTATATACTAGAAGAATAACGAAGAAATAATTATTGCAAGTTAGGCAACTAGGAAAAAGGAACGTTTGTGATCACAGTTAAGCCAACAGCAAGGCAGCACACAGCCCTGTAGCTCAACAATCTCAACGGCTGTGCAGAATAGCTGTACAGTGCAGTTATTTTGTAGCTCGTAATAAACTCAAGAATATCACGCTAATTTACAATGAAAATAAAATAAAGATTTTGAATTTTCAATTATAAAATAGCATTCGCTCAAGAGATACTTCAAAATAAGTCCAAATTGCAAATTGTTCAGGCAGCGAGCTCATGTCCTAATGCCGCAGCTGTTGCCCTGCTGCAGGTATCAGGCTAATATAGTAGAGTGCGCTCAATGATTTACAGCTGCTACCAAGCTGCATTACACTGCTGCAGCAATCGTACAGTCGTGGCCAGTGGCTGTAAGTATAATTGTTATTGGATTATTGATTTGTACGCGCTAATGAAGCCATCAGAACGTACGCCTGCGAAGCGTGACGCCTCAGTGCTACAAGCCCATCTCATGTTTACCACGAGGTATAGTGTTTACCACGCTGTGTTGTGTTGACCGCGCAGTGTTGTTTACCGCGCTGTATTGTGCTTACCGCGCTGTAATGTGTTTACCACGCTGTATTGTGTTGACTGTGCTTTGCTGTTTACCACGCTGTATTGTGTTGACTGTGCTGTGTTGTTTACCACGCTGTATTGTGTTGACTGTGCTGTGTTGTTTACCACGCTGTATCTGTCTCTGGTTGCAACACCCGCCAAACTGCAGGTATGAACGAGGGTTGCAACACCCGCCAAACTGCAGGTATGAACGAAGGTTGCAACACCCGCCAAACTGCAGGTATGAACGAGGGTTGCAACACCCGCCAAACTGCAGGTATGAACGTAGGTTGCAACACCCACGGCCTGCAAATGCAGGTATGAACAAGAGCTGCAACACTCACGAACTACAAGAACGAGTGAGGGTTGCAAACATCGCGATGAGCACGAATGAACGAGGGTTGCTTGCCACGCAATCCGATTACGCATGGCGCAACACAAACTATCTCAAATAGTAGAGGCACCACACTCGCTGATATAGAGTGTGGTGAGGCGGAGGGTCCCTTTCATTAACAGGTATGATGGAAGATGCATCATCACAACTAACGAGACTAGGCTAGTCGTGATCTCGCTTCAACTTTATTGCTAGATTCATTACTGAAAACCCTCAGATGACATTGAACATGCGTTTAAAGATGCAAAATAAAGGAATATAGTAATGCTAAATTACTATTATTGCGTCAAATGGTCATACACAATCCACTTCAAAATGACAAGCTTGTCTCAGTTGAACCACGGAGCTAACGGTCTCAGGTATAGAGCCTTTTGTGCCTCTCCAGTCTCCATTTAAGGGGTATAAAGCAAAAAGACTTGTACGGTAATATTCGAATTTTTTCATTTTTCCAGCATAAAGCAACACGTATATGGAACTTTAGAAACGTAATCGAACTTCCCTTTTATCTATCGAACTCGGTGCACTTTTAAAATCAACAATATCTTTGATTACGAAAACGAAGTAATGGTTTCGTGGACATTAAGATAGCGTTGCTAGTGCAGTTACACCATCTCTGCAGGCGCTGCTAGTGCAGTTACACCAACTCCTCGATGGAAAATACGAAAAGCATCAGTGATACTGTTGACTACCATTTACGTCCATAACATGTCTTACATGACGATAAATACGATGCACGATCATGATATGATGAACACACTTTATAATTACGATGATAACTGTCTCTCAAGATACGATGATAACTGTCTCTCATGATACGATGATACCGGTCTTAAAAAAAATTACGATAGCTACGATGACACAATAACGATAGCGTACTTCTAAGCAATCAAAGGCATTTGTCGGTCCGGATTGGAGCCTGAAGTTTGTTGAAACACAAAGAATGAAAATTTCGTTTATCGACATTGATGTGTTAATGATAAATACATTTACATGATGCAACCATGAAGTATTAATTATAATTAATACTTTCACATGTTGCAACCATGATGTACTAATAATAAATACTTTCACATGCTGCAATAATAATGTATTGATATTAAACACTTTCACATGCTGCAACAATAATGTATTATTAATAAATACTTTCACAAGTTTCAAGTGTGCGGAGAAGATAGACAAAAAGTTTTGTATATTTAATCTTGATGCTTCACCGAAAAATATTTCACTAGAAGAAAGAGCTGCTTTGTGGGAAAAAAAAATTAAGCTAAGAAATAACGTAAACCATAAGAAAAATAGAAAAAAGTTTTTCACGGCGCCCTACGAGAGGCCGCCAAAAGTGGGGGTGACAGGCGAGCAGCGAAGTGTCAATTACGGGACACTGACACGCCGGGGAGGGGGGAAGGGGAGGGGAGGGGGGTAGTGAAAGGACGTAGGAAAGTCGTACAATATCAATAAAAAATGGCAGCTTACTAAAATAGTAAACTAAATAAAAGTTTTCAAAACCTTCATAATTTTCGAATTTGTTTAACTGAACTAAATAATTTGTCAGTAACAGAACTTCCGTCTTATGTAGTTGATATTGCAACTGTAACGATGGTTGTAATGATGTCGACATCATAACATCATCCCATCCGAGCACTCGACAGCGGGCGACTATCATGGCGGCAATGGTAGCGCCGCGACAACACCTCACTGGCAGCAAGACACCATTGCACTTGACGTAGATCTTCAATACTAGTAAGCACATAACCATCATATGAGCTTGCACAGGCCTTCATACTTCAAAAAATGTTATAATATCCATAATTCTTGAAAAATTCTCCAAGTCAATCTTTAAATGTTTAGTGTAACACGACGGCGTTCATTATTCCAATGTGGTGGAAGAACAAAAACTAAGAAAGTATCTCACCAGTTACCGACATCAAGTTATTTAAGTTGGACATTAATTCTTTCTAGATTATATACCAACGACAAAAAAGAATGATATATTTTTAAAATTTGATGGTACTCATGATTCTAGGTACTAGTAATTCGTTTCTGACGCGTAAGACTGATATTTACTCAAGAAATGTACTCGTCAGAACACATGTTCCATGCTTGAGCAGCGAGTGCACACACACCGACTCAGTTCCCAGCGGCACTAAGCAAATGGCAATATCCACAAATATTGCTCGGGCGGCGCCCATAAAGCGCGACACCGCGCAATACGCAAATAAATAAGCTCACATTTGCAAACGAGCCACTGCTGCACAACGCTTATTGCATATTTCTCAAAGATTGTACGGTATTGATACAAAAACAGTGAAATTAAGTGAACAACTGGTGCAAAAGTAGTCGGAAGAGTCCTCAGGTAAGGCCTTTGTTGGCAACGCTTTATTTTACACAATAAATCACGTGGAAGAGTTATGCGTTCCGCATTCAAATATGAGAACATTCAATGGAAGAGAAAGTTTCGAGATGCTCAT